ACCTACAGAACTGTGAGAAAATACATTTGTCTTGTGTAAGCCATTCAGTCTGTAGCACTTTATTATGACAGCCTTAGAAAGCTAATATACAAGGTATGTCATGTATAACCTTTAACTTTTTAACCTATTTGTCTCTTCATATGTTTTATGGGTTTTTGGTTGTCAATATAGAGTTGAGTTTATACTTTTTTTAGCCATTCTGACACTCTTTGCCTTCTATTGGATATTTAGCTCATTTGTATTTATTTATTTGATAATTCATACAGATGGGCTTAAGTCTATTATGATCTTGCTAATTTTATACTTGTATCACTTATTTACTTTGTTTCTTCTTTCCCTTCTTTTTGGTTGAGAACTTTTTATGATTTTATTTTGTCTTCTTTGTTGGCTTATTAAATATGACTTTTTGTTACTTTAGTGATTGCTTTAGGGTTTAGAGAACATATCTTTAAGCTTATCACAGAATAGCTTCCAATACTGTATCACTTCCTAGGTCATATAAGAGTCCTACAAGAATAAATTTCTATTTCTGCCCCTTCTGGTCACTATGATACTATCATACATTGTGCTTGACCTATTTTATGAGATCCATGCCACATGTTAATGTTTTAGGAATCAGTGATGTTTTAAAGATATTTAAGTAATAAAATTTTTCTATATTTACCTTGCAGTTGCCATTTTCAGGGCTCTTCATTCTTCTATGTAGATCCTTCTTTTTAATCTGTTATTTTCCTTCACTTGAAGGTCTTTCTTGTCAGGTGAGTCTCTTTGAGACGAATTAGTTTACCTTTCATATGGCTGAAAAATATTTTTTTAACTTATTTTGAATTTTTTATTGTTGAGTATAGAATTGTTTCAGTATTTTGAGGTGTCACTCTGTATTCTTGATTAGATTGTTTTAGCAAGAAATCTGCTGCCATCTATATCTTGGTTCTTCTGTTCGTTTCTCTGCTTTTAAGATTCCTTTTTTTTTTATTCTGGTAAAACATACATGATATAAAATTAGCATTTTTAACCATTTTTAGATGTATAGTTTTTTAACAAGAAGCACATTCACATTGTTGTGCAACCATCATCAGAATTTTTTTCTAGAATATTTTTACCTTCTTCAACTGAAATTCTGTAACCAATAAACAGTAAATTTCCTTCCCCCTTTCTTCCAACACCTGGCAGACACCATTCTATTTTTTGTCTCCATGTCTTTGGCTATCCTAGAAACCTCATACAATATGCACTTTAGTGATTGGTTTATTCTACTTAGAATTATGTTTTCAAGGTTCATCCATGTGTTAGTATTTCTCTCTTCTTAATTAATTTTGATATGTTGTGTTTGCATTTTTGTTTTATTTTAATTTGGAAAGATTTTGGTTATTTTTTGTTCAAATATTTATTTATCACATATATTAAATTTGCCATATATTGTTACATTTTAAATATATATTTATATTAATAAATAATACATTTATAAGTAATTAATAGTATATTTATTATCATATATAATTATTGATAACAGTGTCTATTACTATGTCTTCAAGTTCACAATCCCTTTTGGGGAATGTTTATCCATGGCACTTTATTTTTAATACCAATTGTTCATCTCTAGATGTTTTATTTTTATATTTTATTCCATTTCCCATACTTCACCTTAACTATTAGATCATAGAATGCAGTTACAATAGGCTGTTTTAATGTCTTCATCTGCTATATCTAACTTTTGTATCATTTTTGGGTTTGTTTTTATTGGCTATTTTATCTCCTTGTGATATAGTTTCTTGTCATTTAGAATGCCTGGTTATTCTTGACTGGATGCCAGATATTCTGATGTTTAACTTTAGAATGCTGGATATTTTTGTTTTGAAATTAAGATTCTTGAGTACAGTTAAGGTACTTGTAAATAATATTATACTTTTGAGTTTTGGTTTTAAGATTTGTTGGGCAAGGGATCCCTGGGTGGCGCAATGGTTTGGCGCCTGCCTTTGGCCCAGGGCGTGATCCTGGAGACCCGGGATGGAGTCCCACATCGGGCTCCCGGTGCATGGAGTCTGCTTCTCCCTTTGCCCGTGTCTCTGCCTCTCTCTCTCTCTCTCTCTCTCTCTCTCTCTCTCTCTGTGACTATCATAAATAAAAAATAAAAAAAAAAAAAAAGATTTGTTGGGCAAGACCAAACCAGTGTTTATTCTAATGCTAATTATTCCCCTCTATGGTGTCAGGACTCTTCTGGATAGTTTATCCAATGACCTCTGATTTATAAGGTTTTCAAAATTGGGTAGTGGAGACAAACATCATTGCTGTGACTGAGTGGGCACTGGGTACTGTTATTTCTAATTCTTTTGGGTGCTTTCTCTAGCCTCATACTGTTTCCTCCCACATATCCACTGATCTGCTAAACACTTGAAGAGTACCTAGCCAGTGCAGATCTCCATCATTCTGTATGCAGAAGAATCTTTTCTAGTAATCTTCTCTGTGAATTATATCTGCCTTAGTTTCCCTGGACTCTTTAGTTATGTTTCTTCAACTCAGGAAGCATGCTAGGCTCTACCTGGTTTCCCCTTCCTGAGTACTCTCTTAGAAGTCTTTCAAGGCAGCAAGCTTTGCAAATCAAAGGGCACATCACATTTGTTTTCTGTCTTTCATTATTACTGCCTTTTGTTGCCTAATATACAGTGTCTTGCAAACCACTGTTTCATTTATTTTGTCCAATTCTTTGGTGGTTTTTTGTAGAGGGTAAATCTTGTCTATGTTAGTCCATCTTACCCAGAAGAGGAATTTTTTCTTTTGATTTATCTCTTAGTTGGCTGACAAGAATACTCTTAGTTTTTGCAAGGGAAAAAATATGTGATTTATTTTATGAGTCCTTGCCTACATGAGCATGTCTCTAAAAGTTTCCTTAACTCATAAAAAAAAAAAAAAGGATTACTGGATTGGGCATAAAAATGCTTGGATCCTATCCTTTTGCACTAAACATTTCTTGGAGTAGTATTATATTGCATTCTGTCAGAATGTTTCAAAGAAAATCTTGAGTCTAATTATCCTTCATTTTTTTAGATATATTCTCTATATTTTTATTGTGAAACAGTACTTTACCTGTATGTGCCCATTTTAATAGGCCGATTAAAAATTTTTATTTTATTTTAAGTAAACTCTGTGCCACACATGGGGCTCTAATTCACAAACCTAAGGTCAAGAGTTATGTGCTCCACCAACTGAGTCAGCCAGGCACCCCAATAGGCCAGTTTTAATTTTAGTTCTTTTATCTCTTTCTTTGACAGAAACCACTTACATCCCTAAATAATGTGCTGATAGCCTGGATATCTTAGGTTTAGAGGTTATCTATTTAATATGGAAGATGTTGATGTACTTTTTTCATCCCTCATTATAACCAAAACACATACAATTCCCATCTTCTAGTTATTTCAATATTGTTTATTATGATTTCATAAACTCATTTAAAGCTACATAAAATGCTATAATTAGTTTTCCTTTCTTTCAGGACTTTTTTCATCTTCCTGGGGTACAAATTGCCTTTTTTGCTTATATGCTTACTTATTTAGTTTTTTTTCAATGGACTTGTCATGGATTTGTCCCTAATCTCTCCTCAATTTGTGTAAATATTTTCTTAATGCATTAAAAATATAAGGAATTCTGTCAATTTTGACTATATGGAAATATTGCTGTAAATTTTGATGTGCTCTAATCTGGTTGATCTACTTTAAGATGCACTGCACAAGCATGATCTTGAAGGTTTCATTTGATAAAGGAAACAGGTCGCTGTTTCCTGTGTAATATTTCTTTCTCTTTTTTGATTTATTCCTTTATTTTATTATTATTTTTTTAACATTTAACATTTTTAACATTTATTGAGGATTCTTGCCCAAATCTGTCCATATCCTAATGGTTACTAACTTTCTAACTCTACTACTCCTTCCAGTACATTAGAGGGGGAAAAAGTTTTCATAATCTCCAAATCCACAACAATAAAACAATGTCAGAATCTGCCATAAGAACACAAGTGAAAAAGAAATATTTTCTAAGAACCGCAGGACTATAAATTTAGGAAGGACACAAAAAATTCTAAATGAATCAAACTCATCAAATTATATACATTAAATGTATAGCTTTTTAAAAAAATGTTACTCATACTTCATTTGAGTGGTTTAAAAAAGAATCATGCCAAAGAAAATCATGATTTTTAGCTCAATCCTGAGTTAAGAATATTAAGAATTTGCCCACAATGTGTATGGCCTCCTAAATACAATAGATGATTTTATATACAATTTAAAATCTAATACATTATGAATTTATGATTCAGAAGTACCCTTAAATATTTTTAAGCAGTAAAACACACAAGATAGTTACAAGTAGAAATAATACCCGCAAAGTGTTCCATATTATTATCCCAGAGACATACCATAGAGGTCTCAGGTTATTAAGAAAACATCAAAAAATGTTTTCTATATTAAGAGTATGTTTTCGGGAGTGGGAAAGAATAGCAGCTTTCCCTTTGGTTTAAAATACTCAACAGCCTGAAGTCACGAACCTAAGAAGGTGTAGCCGTCTCTGGAGAAGTTGGAATTGCAGAGAAATCCAGCATGGAAGCACACCTGTACTTTCCACTCCACCCCCAACCCCAAACCCTCTGCCAGGCAGGGCTCAGGTTCCCACTTTAAAAGAAGTTAAGGTCACTTCTATTTCAGAAGGGCAAACGTTTGGTAGTATGAATGACTTTTTCTTCTTATTAAGTAGAATGAATGGTAATTTCTGAAATGCTCTTCCAATTTAAAATCTAAGAGCTCCTGCCCCTCAACCCATGAAGCCACAGGCCCCATGGAGGTTGGAGGGGAACATCTGCAATACACTAGCCTGTGCCCCTGTAAGCAGGAAGCATGGATGGTGTGAGCAGCCTACAGTCCGGCCATCAGTGTCACCACGGAGTTGACTGTAGTTATCTTTGTACCATTGATTATAATGACAGCTGTGTCCCTTTTCCTGCTATCGAAAACTCATTGGAGACTTTTCATTAACACCTTATTCCTGCGAACACATGTGGGACACAGCATATTGTCCTCCAGCTGTGGGGGTGGAAAGTTACAAGCGGGGAGCAAGAAGAGGGTGCATACTCTCCCCCACTTTTCAGGCACCCAGGCTTGTCCTGCATGAAATTGCAGGTGAACCCAACCTTCTGTATCTGCAGGCATACTTCTCCCATGGACCACACACCACTTGGCACCGTGGGCCTCCTGTGGCGATGCCACTGTCTCCATCTTCCCAGCCCTGGCTGCAATTCTGGACCAGGAGGCAAACATGGAATCTGGGGCCAAAGTGGTCACAACAACAGTATTGACCACCCCCCAGGAGAGCATCAGACCCCTCAGGGCGGGGAGGGGGGCAGCCACTTCAGGAGGGTAGGTTCCATCAGAAGGTATCTTTGTTCTAAGACTTTCCAGAGACATTTCCCCCTTGTCCATCATTAACCTTCTCTGTGTCTGGGTGAGAATCTTGGCCTCTTCTGCGGTGACAGGAATGTTCTTCTTTTGATCTGGGTAAGCATATTCACAGATTCGCTTATATACATCTAATTTCTGGCCTTTGGTGCTCAGCTTGAGTTCTTGGCACCAAGCCCGCAGGATGTCTCAGTGAAGCAAGTTGGCTGGTGGCAGTTTCGAAGGTAATGGAGGAACTAGGATTTTCTTCCGAATTCTTACTCTTGTACTCTTTTGTGCCGTCTTTTCTGAACAGGAAGCTTTGCCTTCTTTCATAGATCTCTTCCGTTTGGTCCCACTTGCTGAGGTTCCTGGTAACTTTGGTCACCATACCCCTGCTGTTTCTCTTTGGCTTCTTCTTCTTTTTTTTTTTTTTAATAAATTAATTTTTATTGATGTTCAATTTACCAACATACAGAATAACACCCAGTGCTCATCCCGTCAGGTGTCCCCCTCAGTGCCCGTCACCCATTCACCCCCACCCCCCACCCTCCTCCCCTTCCACCACCCCTAGTTCATTTCCCAGAGTTAAGAGTCTTTATGTTCTGTCTCCCTTTCTGATATTTCCCACACTGATACAGGTTGGGATTGGCCAGCCAGATAGTCTTCCCCCCACTTCGTGGAGCCCTTTTTGCCTTTTGCTTTCTCCATATCCAAAGAGAAGTCAAGGTTGACTAAAAGTCTTACTCCTGAAATCTATTCCTTTATTTTTGTGGAGAACGTTCACCAGTGGATTCCTAAATAACCATGCATTGGAGGTAATATATTTAAGCTCTTGCATTTCTCATACTGTATTTCACTACTCACTGATAATTTGTTTAGGTCAAGAATTCTAGGTTGGAAACCAATTGCTCTAAAGCTAGAAGGCAGAGATACTGTTGAAAGGCTGATAGCATCATTCTCTTAATCTTTTGCAGAAGCCTATTTTTATTTCCTGTTTCTCTTTAAAGCTTTTTGGATTAACTCTTTGCTTTTAAGTTTTGAAATATCATGGAGATATCCTTATCATGAGTTTTTTTTATCCATGGTTTGAGGTATTCATTCTGTGAATCTTTTCTGTCTACAAATTTATGTTTTTTTATTTTGAAGCATTTAAATGATAGCTTCCTTGATTATTTTTTCTCCTTTTAAAATTATTTTATCTTTTGGAAGTTCATTGATTTCTGTATTAGATTTCCTAGACTGATCTGCAGATATATATATATATATATATATATCAGTATTTTAAGATCAGGGAAATTTTTTTATTTTATTGTATTATTGACTATTACAGTACACTGATATTCTTGGGCCAGCTGTGCATGTGCTGTTCCCTCTATTTTCCCTATTTTTTTTCTCTTACCATTTGTGTTTATTTCCACTCTTTCTTTTAGTATCTAAGAGTTTCTCAAATCATTACTGACAATTGCGATTTATCTTCCTAAAATGTTAGCTATGACTTTTAATTCTCCCATTGCAAATTTTAATTTTATTATTGAAAATTGTTTTCTCAGCTCACTTATAGTGTATTTCCTTCATTTCTTGTTATCTTCTGGACTGTCTGCTCTTGTTTCTTTTTTTATTATATACTGTTAAGAAGAGCTCAGAAAAAAACAATCTGTCTTCTGTATGCAGACTATACTTGTGTTTTGTTTGGCTGCATAACATTTTCTTCCTCTTGTTGTCATTCATTTGTTTTGTTGGTAATCAACATGATAAGAATGAAAAAGAAGGAAGGAAGGGAGGCAGGGAAGGAGGAAAGAAAGAAAAACATTTTTTTTTAAATCCCCAGATTTCCAGGTGTACCTGGGTGGTTCAATTGGTTAAGCGTCCAACTCTTGATATCTGCTCAGGTCATGATATCAGAGTCTTGGGATGGAGTTCTATGCTCTATGCTCAGCAGAGAGTTTGCTTGAGGATTCTCTCTCCCTTTGACTTCTCCCACCCACATTCTCTTTCTCTGTATCATTCTTCTCTCAAATAATTAAGTAAATCTTTTAAAAAAATCCCTAGATTTCCAAAATGAGAAATCTAATATCAATAAGCCTATACAACATTTAGATGGTGCTGATGAGTGTCGTCTCTTTAGACATAGTCTGTATTGGCCATTTTCCAGTTTTTCCTACCCTCTATTGGCCCTTTGAAATTTTGATGAAACTATACTGGTCCCTGAAGATATTGAAATAGTTGCCTTTGTCTGTGTAGACTACTGAATTGTCATATGTATATGTATATATATATATATATATATATATATATAGTATAACATGCACATCTTTTTCTTTTGGTTATTGCAGTTAAAGGAGTACTGTACTATGCTCTTCCTTAGCTTCTTACAATCTTTTCTTTCTTCTGTTCTGCAATATTTTTTTCTGTACATTTCTAGTCATTGTTTTTTCTCCTTACTCATCTTTGAATGAGAAGAGACCTTTTTAATTCAGTGTGTGTCCATAGGCAGGGTATGTGACCATTTCCTTGGCTCTGTTCACTAACACTTGAGAGATGCTAGAATTCTCTCCTCTGCTCTAGAGTTGGAGGGTACAGTGATGGGTACTCTTTCTTGCCCAGTTTCTAGTACCCAAGAGGCTCTACTTGACAACTTTTCTCCTATTCTGGAAATCTCATACACCAAATAGTTCATTAATTCTCTGGACTGGAGTCCATGAAAAAGCATAAGCTCCAAAATGCACTTCTAGAAATCTTGTTATTCCTTTCTTCTACCTAAAGTACTTTACATCTAGGGATAATGTATATGAGAATTAACGTGTCTTCATCCACTATACTTAGAAAAATATATCTGAAATTAATTAAGCACTCCCCCCTTTTTAATAAAAAATGTTGTTGTCAATATGATTTCTTATTTCATTTTGGTCATGATATAACTGCATTTACTCATAATTAGAATTATATATGAAGATAATATGACTATCAAAAATACAATTCTATATCCTATAGTAACTAATTCCTATTATCATTTTTCTGTAATTATTTTATTATCTTCAATTCTCTAAAATCTATAAATGCATAATATTTAAAGAGCTGTTTCTTATTCTCTCATTTAGTATTAAAAGTTAGTACTTAAAAATTAAAGAAACAGTATCATAACCAGAATATTTCCTAGCTTGGGATCTGTACATGAGGAGGAATGGGATGATGTACTCCCTGGTGAACTTGGGAGGTATGTGAGCTTTGTGTTAGTACCTCCTGCTGCTGGGTTTATGATGTAGTCAAGAAAAGCCTTGGATAGATTAATGAAGGATGATCCCTGGAAGCTATTTTGAAAGAAATTACTTTGCTTATTTACATTTAACAAAGCCAAATCAATCCACAAACAGAAGTAGGGAGTCAGCCTTTATTTTTTTTTAAGATTTTATTTATTTATTCATCACACACACACACACACACACACACACACACAAACACAGGCAGAGGGAGAAGCAAGCTCTATGCAGGTAGCCCAATGTGGGACTCGATCCCCAGACTCCAGGATCACGCCCTCAGCCGAAGGCAAGCGCTAAATCACTGAGCTACGCAGGGATCCCGGGAGTCAGCCTTTCTTTGTGTTTAAATGTCTGTATTCCACTGTCATTTACTGAAATGACCATTCACATGGAACTGGGCAAAAATTTTTGTAGAATGTTAAATAATTGCAGAGATAAGAACAATATTTGTCAAATTTCCTTTGTTTCTTTTAGCTGAATATAATGAGCACTTTAATATTTACAGGAAAAAATAACTGATAAACAATTGCTAAATAAATAGAAACTGTGCTTAAGTTCTCTCTGAAACACTAAGGACACAAACCGACAGGTTTATTCAGTTCCCAAAAATGTCAGTTTATGAAAGTATCTGTATTTTCTGAGTTTGCTCTCACCATTGTTCTCATTATTAAAATGTGAAGGCTTCAACTCATCATTTAAAATCTTCAGTAAAGAGATGCACTTGGGTAGCACAGTTCCTTTGGGCATCTGACTTCTAGTTTCAGATCAGGTTATGATCTCAGGGTTGTGTGATCAAGCCCCATTTTTGGCTCTGCACTAAGCATGGAGTTTGCTTAAGATTCTGTCTCCCGGGGATCCCTGGGTGGCGCAGCGGTTTGGCGCCTGCCTTTGGCCCAGGGCGCGATCCTGGAGACCCGGGATCGAATCCCACCTCGGGCTCCCGGTGCATGGAGCCTGTTTCTCCCTCTGCCTGTATCTCTGCCTCTCTCTCTCTCTGTGTGTGTGCCTATCATAAAAAAAAAAAAAAAAAAGATTCTGTCTCCCTCTGCCCCTCCTCATTGTGCTCTCTCTCTCTCTCTCTCTCTCTCTCTCTCTGTCTCTCTCTCTCAAATAAATAAATACATATTTAAATATATATATAATAAGATATTGGGTAAGGAGAGAGAGAGTCCTATTTGGGAATAGGGGAGAAACATGTTTACTAATAAGAAATAAGATTTTTTTTGTCTCATTTGCAGTTGGGTATAGCCCTGGCAGTAAATTCTGACCAGTTATTTGAAATTTCCAGGATGTGTCTTCAGAGACAAAAAGTGTACCCTTTTCATTCCTTATTCCTTTGTGCTTACTGAAATGCATAATGGTTGGAGTTAAAAATGCCACCTGGACCAGGAGGTAGAAGGCATGTATTAATGGTGGTGAAGCACAGAGTGTGAATGACTGATAACTCTTGATAGTCTATGTTTGGACTTCACTTATATGTGATAGAAATAAGTTTCTATCTCTCTCTCTTTTTTAGGTTTTTTGTTGCTGTTGTTGTTGGTTACATTTCAAAACATCATTTCTGATGCAAAGTTTTTCACCTTTCATTCTATTTTTCAAATCTTATCTTATTTTCTATTACTAAAGTCCAGCCAGATTAGATGTTCATTGTTCCTTTAGTAAGCATTATGCCTTTTCAGGTTTGACCTTTTGTTCAGTCTACTCTTTCTGCATGATACAAGATAGTCCCTGCTCTATCTGTTTGGAGTTCTCTCTCAAGCACATTTCAGCTTTCTTATATCACAGTGGAGTGATCTTTCTCTAAATTCCTATAATATTCAATGGAATTTTCCATAAATATATTAGGTAATAGGCTACTTGCCATAAATATACAGTGAGCACCCATTATATGTCAGGCATTAGGATAGAGATGATTGAGGTAGGAGGAGGATAGATACTGTGTTTCTGCCCACAAAATTTTCATAACTTAGTGAAAGGAAGATATTTTTACAAGTAATACTAAGAAATGAACACAACATAATGAAAAACACATTGTAGAATTACAAATGAAAAAGTGACTAATTCTTTTGAGGATGGAATGGGAAGGAAGCCCCAAATGATTTCTCCAAGCAGATGATA